AGAGAGAGAGAGAGAGCGCGCGAGAGTGCGCAAGCTGTAAGATTCTCCACAGTTCCTGCCGTTGTCCGACCATCTGTAGCCATTTCCACTTAGGCCTGGAAGGCGGACTGGCAGTAGTCTGGGCTTGCGTCTGAATGCAGTCTTTTTGATGGGCATGCAGGGCTGGTCCCCCTTTTTGATCATCCTGGTGAACGCTGTAGAAGCTGCGCAAGACAATGCCTAACAATCTGATGATCATCTGCTCAGATGCACCAATGATTGTCGTGTCCAAGGCAGTGAGAAAAGCATTGCCTCTGGTTCACTTCAACGACACCTCAAGCAGACAAGGCAGCGAAATCGGGAGGCAAAAAGCACTTAGGGACGGAGTCGGCTCAGGCCACTCGGGCCGCTCGGGCCGGCACCAGATACTTCCTGTCAGCTCCCGAGCCGCGCTTCTCCACCTAAGCGGATGCAACAGCTCGAATGTGTGACGCGCTGCGTGCTGCTGTGCGTTTCGTTCCAACTGGTGTCCACTGGCCACTTGTGCCCGAGCTTCGAACTTTGAAGAGCTGCGGCCACGCTTGAAGAAATGTCAGGAGTATCTCCTCTGAGAAAGCCGGCGGTGGCGCACATCATTAGGAATGGGCCCATGCGAGACTCCAAGCAGCCGCTGGAAGCATCAGTGACGGTTACAAGGGCAGGACAAAGGTACTTCATGGTACTTCGGGGCTGCCTGCTGCTGCCAGGGCCGCGTGGCACCCGTCGCCGCCGTCTCACAAAAGGAAGTGCACGTGAAAGTTCCCACCATGCAGAGGTACAGTGAACTGAGGACGGGCACGAACAGCGGCACGGCTTGCAACAGCTCCGGAACTTCCAAAGGGCCCGCCTCTTGCTTCACGAAGTGTTTCTGAGTTGTCCCTGGCCTCTTGCAAAAGGCAGTGCCTAATCCAGTCCCTGCCTGCAGGGCTTGTCGTAGCCTCTCTTGCCACGGTCCACTCTCCTACCGACGTTAAAGACCACGAAAGCTCGCATCTGAGGCCCAACTGATTGCAGAAGGGCAGAGCGAGCTGAGCGAGCAGCTCCCGTCCTCTTGCTCTGGAATCGGCTTGAGTGCGCCTCCGCCGTACTGGTACACCAAGGGCGCCTGAAAGCAGCCGCCTGACCTGCAAAGCCTCTTGCTACTCGGCCGCGCTTTAAGAGCCTGTTGCACCAGCCCTCAAATTAAATGCCACTGAGCTTCCGCCATCTGGTCGGCTTTCTGGATGACCTACTAGCATTTTCTGAAGTTCAGATGCATCTGTTTCAAAGGCCAGCCAGCTGACGAAGAGAAGACTGGCGCTAAGTCATCCACCTGGTGGTACGCAGGCTGCTTCTTCTGGTCTCCAGCCTTTCGAACTCTCAGCTGGGAGGGAGACGACACTCCTCTCAAGTCAGCAGAGTCGCGAGCGCCGGCGGGTGGCCCTGCCTGCATTTTGGCTTTGGCCTTCTTCTGGTCGGCCACAGCCTACGAATCTTGACTGCACAACCCCATTGAGTCTTCGCTGCAGTTCTCCCAGGCAAACAATCTCTTGTCCACCGACTTGCTGCATCACACGTCCAACCCGCACAACCTTCGGAATTGCGCCTGCGTCCTCGCGATGTACATCTCATTGTCTTGAGCACGGAGAAGGGTAAACAAAGCTTCATGCTGCTTCAGCCAGACCTGCCATGCATTCGATTTGTGATCTGAAGCTGCTGACGGCATGCATGCGGCATCGGTATAGGTGCTTCCAGTAGTTCTACATGAAACACGACAAGCCAGTCTGCAGCAGGCACCTTGTTCACCGCTGATATAGGCTTCGGGGCTTGTTGAGCCATCACCTTTGCAGGACACGGTGAATAACTGCTGCAACATGTACCCCTACAAACATAAGACAGTTTCTCCCCCCAGCAACGCCAAACAGTCCTTGTTTGAAGGATGGGTCCACCACCCAGTGGAGCACTCCAAGCTAGCGGTCTCCTGCACCTAGATTGTCTGCAAGCGTTCGCTCGCAGGGACGCGTGCGGCGCTTGTGCTGCCGCGTCTCCAGCATGCATGTATCTTCGAGCTCCTGGTCGTCAGCCCTTGAAAGTCACATCTCCGTCGAAGATCGTCCCCAAATACCATGTGAGCCGACGTGTGTTCGGGATCGGAAATTGCAGGATTTTGGCACGGTTAGATTTCAGCCGTTTGGCTCACAGGTGATTTTTCCCTGCAAAGAGACTCCTCGAAATGGATCCGTAACCGATAAAGCACAGAAGAGACTAGTCAAGCCAGTTCACCGAAAGTGTCACGTTCAAGTGTGGACGTTTATCATGTCCAGCGGTCACAACCGACTCGCGGTTATCAGTCAGGCATGATGCAACTAGTCGAAGAACCTGCCCACAAGAAGGTGTTCACCAGCATTATTGTGTTCGGAGAGCTGCGGCTACTGTGTGGAGCAGTCATGGCAGAGGCCATGCGACCTCCCGTAGATAGCGATCGTTGTTGATCTCGTTGATGTGGGCGATGTTGCCTTCCTTTCCTCAGATGTCCGGCCCCATGTGCTTTTGAAACGAGTCCCGCTGAGCTGGACCAAGCACGCGGCGGTCCAGAAAGTCCATCAGCGCTTCCTGAAATGTCACAGAGACAGAGGGCTGCCTACTCCCAGAAGTAGTATGCACGACCCGGTACCTTTGTGTCCTTCAGAGTCCACAGCCCGCGCAGCCACTGTACATCTCTACAGTCTCTACATGGCTTGGCGCGTCGCTGACAAGCCTTCACGAGGCGCAAAAGGTTCATGTGGGCCTGTACATGCCTGTACTCGAATTTAACCTTCTGGGCGAACACGTCATGGTAAAAGATTCCAGAAGTCGTAGTCAGGGACCGCCAAGCAGCTTTCAATTGAGATGCTTGCATACAGCCAGCAGGGACTCTCGTCCCAGCCAGATCTAACGACAATCCCCTCACAATTCTCTCGCTGCATACATTCTGCTTTGCACGCTTCAACTGGCAGGAACTCCGCAATGCTGTGGAGAGCCTTAGCGCCGTGACCGTCGTAGCAATTCAGGCCTTCGCTCAGACTCCATCTGGAGCCCAGCTCGAAACGCCAGCATGTGTGTCCAGCAACTCGCCTGGTCGCCTGGATGCCGCCAGACCGTGTCCAAAGCTCGCAACGGCCATGCTTGCTATGCTCAATGCCGTTGCAGCTCTGAGTCATGGCGCACTTCTCTTTGCACTGGTTGAGACTGTACTTACCGACTGCTAGAATGTAGTACTTCGCGGAGTTATCATTCGGAGATCTTCCTCTGCATGCACGATCTGTACCACCATCTACGGCAACAAATGGCAATGGAGATGCAGTTGTGGTCGGAGCCCCAATAAACCGCAGGCAGGTAAACCCACGTAGAAATATCGAGGCACGAATACCACCAGGCCGTGTCCATAACTCACATCTACCAGCGCTGTACTCTATACCCTGGCACAGGGCATCAATAATGCAAATCGCTTTGCATCCCTCCAGCCCCGCAACACCGTGCTGAAGCACGTAGTAGCCGGGGCTGTTGTCGCCAGGAAACGCACCTCGACAGGCTCTGTCCACACCTCCGTCGACACCCTCAAACTCAACGTGGGGGGCAGTGGTGAAGGTCGCGCTGGTTGTTGCAGTCGTCGTCAATGCAGGGGTTGATGACGACCCAGGAGGTAGGCTGGTTGTTGGCGTCGGCACTCTCTTGATCTGCCAAACATCGAAGTCCGCGTAGTCACGACACTTGTTCATCAGCAGGCTCCTGCGAAGGAAGCATGGACTGCTTCCATCATCCCATCCACTTCGCACGACTGCAGCTTGGCATGCAAGCGTCTTTTCACACTGTCGGCGGCAGGCTTCGACTGTGAAGGTACCATCCAGCGGGTCCGCCCCAGAGATCGGAAGGGCTCCATGATTCTCCCAGCAGTTCAACCCGATATGCAAGATCCATCCCGAAGAGCTGCCACTTAGGGGTGGCACGCTAATGGGGGAAGGACGTGAACTCGGCGGAGTCGGGCTTGGAACTGGGCTCGGCATTGGATGTGGCGTCGTAATTGGTACCGGAGATGGCACGGTGCTTCCAGCACACTGCAAGCGCCCACCCGAAATCACATGCTGGTTGGAGGCTGTTTGAAAGTCACACACACCTCCGAACTCACCCATGTCGCAAATAAATCTTCGATTGTCGGACTCCTTCAGCGTGCACTGTCCTGCTGTCAGCAAGAAACTCAGAGAATGCAAGAATCAGCGACAACGTTTGCACACAACAGCTTCAGATGCCTCCAGCTGCATCTAGGATGACTGATGAATCCGATTCGAAGTACTGCCCCAGCACCGGGTCCGAGAATTCAATAATCATTTCGGAATCCCAGGAAGAGGTCAGTCTGTACGCCTGCTCCACAAGCACGAGGGCACCATAACCTCTTCGAGCAGAATCAAATGGAATCTCTCCAGCGTTACCTGACAGCCATCACGGACCGAACGAAACAGTCACTCAGAAAAAATGCTACAAGCCGAGTAGACCAAACGAATACTCTACTGATCTAGCGGACGGAACGACTGGAAAGACTGGCTCTTCTTTGCACTTCATGAGCAACGTTCGTGCTAATTAGCATGGCAGCAAGCAGAGGAACCACTGCATCAGAGAAACGAAATCTGGAAGATATGTCTGGGCTAAGATTCTGGTCGTCTACGGGGCATTGATCAGCAGCTGCGCTGAATGCTGACCATGCGGATGAAACCGTGTGCACATGTCGACGGCAATCCTCCCTGCATGCAAGTGACGATGAGGGCAGGCTTGTTTTGACGAGTGATGTCGGCATAGTGACAAAAACTGGAAATAACATGGGCGCCCGAAACCGGAGGCTCTTCACTCGCCGGACACCCTTTACTGTTAGACTTTCTCTTCACCACTCGGGCTGTGAAAAATTTCAGAACTTGATGACGCTTGATGACTGGCCCAGCGAAACAGGAGACTCCCTCCCACTCTGACACAGTGGCTATCACTGTCCTACTCGTCTCTTGAATTTCTCGTCTGGGTCATTGCCTCAATTTTTAGCTCGGCAGCACTGAGTGCAGTTTGGTTTAACCCTGAATGTCATGTGCGCGAGTCCATCCGCCATGATCTTGATGCACGCTTGCTTTTTGCTACAGCCTCAGGCACCCTGAGGTTCAATGCCTGAGCGGCGGAGCTGAAGCAAACTCGCTGGATCCCGACAGTGCGTAGACTCGCAGCAGTCTGAAGCTGCAAATCTGCAAAGACACAAACATCGGTCACATACCCTCGCTTCTTTACTGTGCAATCCTGCCGACTCTGTAGAAGTGGATTCGGATGGCACTGAACAAAGCCTTGCCAATATTGTGTGCGGACTACGACATGTTTGAGTGCTGCGTCCAAGCTACGGCCTTCTGTCGGAAAGGTCCAGTCGGGCGTGCTTTCATACCCAGGTCCTTCAATCTGCAACCTGGCTCCACCACCCCAGACATTCAGCCTGCGTATCATCCCGTTGCATCCGAGAGCCCCTGGCTTTGCCCACTTGGCATTCAAAGGCTGACAGCCCAGCGCACGAAAGCCATCCAAATGTGCACTTATGATGCTTCGAAACCCTCCCAACGAAGCATCCTTCGTGAGGAACACCGGCAATACAGCAGCTTGAGACGCAGCAGTGTTTGCTCCAAATGCCAAACGTGGCTGTGGGGCCTGCATGCGCGAGAAGTCCACATCCTCCAGCACATACTGCACGTTGCATGGCCCAGCACCCCCCAGCAGACCGCAGTGCTGCCCTGCTGCTAATGCTGCTATCCCAGGCGGGCTGCTTCCTATAAAGGCACAGTTCTTCATGCCAAAGGCGAAGGGGCCAGCAGGGCCCAAGAATTGGAGAACTCCGAAACTGTCGTCAGCATCGTTTGCAAATGTGGAATCCAACACATGCCATGGTCGCTTGTCGACAAAGTTTTTGCCCTGTTTCCAATACATGGAATGCCCATTGTTGATGCTGGTGTAGTTTATGAACCTCAGCCCATCTGCCGACTAGACACAACATATTTAAGTTTCGCGAGGGCTCAGTGATGCATAAAAGCTGGCTGTGTTGACAACTTCAAGTCAAGGAGCTGGATGTCGCCAATGGCGTACTGGCCGACATATGTATTGTGCCAGTTCACCTCGTCACGAATCTCATTTACAACTCCATTGTCCTCGCCGCTGCGCGTGAACCATTTGCAGCTGTCCTTGTCGACGAGAAAGCCATCATCATCAATCTTGACTTTTCTTGGGTACTGGTGATCCAGGTAAAGCCCGAACCTGTTGCAATCGTGGCAGGTGTTTCCCCGCCAGTCCCCAAAGGGATAAAACTGTGGGCAGGTCCGGCCTGTGGCCAGGCCATGCCCCGTGCCTCGAAAAGAGCCAGGGGTCCAGATGCCGTTCTCATAGCCGACAATACGATTCTCCAGTATGTGATTCGTCATGCCTATCATGAATATGCCAGCTGTTTGGACTGCCACCCCGCTGACCCAATCCACAGCACACCTTCTCAGATTTGTGCAAATTGCAACATTCTCACGAAGTGTGTTGTTCAGTTCATTGCCGTCCTCAATGTACAGGCCGTTTGCCTTGGCATCCCAGATGATGTTCTGATCAACGAGGGAATTGTGAGTCCCATGCACCGTGATTCCGACATGCTCTCCATCAACCACTGCGTTTCCCTGGAAAACACACCGCGAACATTTCTTCATTAGGTGGAAGTGGAGACAGTAGCGACCCATAACGGGTCGTTGACCACAGCGCTCCACCCGCGTATATCTCATGTCCATGTAGCCAGATCCCCCGGCCGCTATGGTGTGGAGGCCTTCCTTGGACACTTCGATGTTCTGATGGTCACCAGTAATGAGGACGGAGCGCTCCAAGTTCACCACCTCTGCAGCAAGCTCAAATCGCTTGCCTCCGATCTCCTTGAACCCACCCCAATGCTGGTGCTTCACAGGCTCGTCAACCGTGAGCTGGTAATGTGCGATCGCGAGAATCCGGTGAACCGTGGACTCACCTCGGCTGGTCGTCGCCAAACCTATACGGTCCCCCACCTGCCATCCCATGTCTCTGGCGTCGTGCTTCAGGTACAGCACCTTCTCACCTGGCAAAACTGTCTGGCTAAGAAGGGTCCACGTTCGCCCCATCCTTCGACCGTGGATCTCAATGCGACCCATGCCACCAAGGAAGCGCCGGCCCAGGTTTGGGTGGCTGTGGGGGCCATCGGTGATGTACACAGTCGCTGGAAGATTCATTGGCGAACTCACCGTGCCAAGGACGAGATGGCCATCATCCTCAACAAGAACGTAATTGGCACGAAGCTCGAGGTTTGCTTTGGTCTGATCCCACCTCAGAGTGCCATAGATAGTCAACGTCTCAACTTCCAGCGACGCGTCCATGAACCATGTCTCGCCAGCAGGAACTACACAATGGGCTTGTCCTTTGCAGGTAGATGCGGACGTTGTTGATCTTGCGTCTGCCCGGGCCTCTGAAACTTCAACACGGTGCTGCAATAGCTCGGGACCAGACGTACGACATGACGAGTCCGAGCAGACTGCACCAGCGAACAGAATGCAGGTGCAGAAGATCCATGCAACCCGCACGGTCATCTCTGGCTAATCGTAGCAGCCCTCTGTGCACGTAAGCTGCGGGCATGAAGGTGAATCTTGCATCGCAAGTCTGCTATCTAGTTCAGGCAAATCGACTGCCGGTGCCTCAAGGGAAGGTGGTTTCACCTCCAGTCCTTCCAGGCACTCTCGAAACAAATGCCGCACAGGATGCACATCTGACAGTTGTGCCTTCGGCTGGCAGTGGGTCATCTGTCTCTGGCACAGCACGTGGCCTCAAGTGACCAAGTCGCAACTCAGACAGCAAGTTTGGTGCGCAACTCTGCCAGGGTGTTGCCAGGGTGTTGAAACAGACGCCGGCGAGAAGCTCACCACAGCTTGTGCAGAGCTGAGGGTTTTGCTTTGGTGCTGCCGCTAGAGATGGAAAGAGAGCCTTCATTGTCATCAAAGTCATGACATCTCAGCTGGGCTATCATCCGTGACCCCTCAAGTCTACCTCCATGACTGGGTGATCCCAAGAAAAACATGGAGACCATCGTGAAGTGGCGGTTGAGCTAGGCTTACCAGCTCCGGTCCTCATCGTTTACATCCTGCTCGAAGGCCTTGATCTGCTGCCTGACAAGCTGTAACAAGCATGGCACACCAAGGACTAAGGACAGAAGTTCAGGTACGGTGTGTCAACGACTTGCACCCAGATCGGACTTTCAGTTCCGCCTGGCAGCGGCAATCCGACCTTGCGAGCAGGCAGGGTCAGTGGGGTAGCGGCGAGTTACGCTCGAGGTCTCTACTTTCGGCAAAAGCGTGAAAAACAAATCCTCAGACACAGAAAGGGAAACGAGATGGAGGGATGATGGAAAGGGGAGGAAGAGCAGGAGTGAAAAGGTAGAGGCAGAGACAAATTCAAAGGAATCGCAGGACTGGGGCTCTCAGACCTTCAGCCAGTGCATCATCAGCGACGCTCTCGTCCTGCACTTCGATTCCAAGCGGCAGGCAGGGGGCCCCTCCCGTCAGCCCTCGAAGCCATCGTCCTAGAACCCTTAACGGGGCCGGCAGGCCTCGCAGAGGGTCAAAAGGGAGCTCAGTTCTGCGGAGGCCTCGCAAGGTGCCGCGAAAAGAGTAACGAGAACTTGCTCGGCTAGGCCCCTAGGGCCCCCCTTTGAGGCCGCGGCGGCTTCAAAGCGGCGCTTGATTTCAGCAGCCTTCAAGTACCTCAATGGCATGGGGGTGAGGCCGGGCATTGGCATTCCAACCTACATTCTTGCTTCTTGGTGAAACCGAAGTAGTCCTCTGTCTCGTGAAGATGTCTAATTATGAGGTCGGCTGTCTTGCGTACCCAGTCCAACCAGCTGCAGTTTCTCTACCAGAGTTGCTATGATTGAGAGCAATAGCAGATTTCTTTCTCTGCCGTTCGGTGCAGATGCCGGACCCAGCGACGCCCTGCATGCACAGGTTTGCGATACGGATCTTACGACTGCAGCGTGACACCACGGGGGTTGACGTGTCGGCAACGGCTGAAACACTTGACAATACCTGGAGCCCTGAGAAAAAACATCCAGAGGGTGTTCGCCCCTTGTGGGCATCCAAGTTCCTGCCGGAATTAATGTGCCAAGGTACTGTTCTTCAGCAATGGCACGCTGCTTTAACCTTAGCGGTGCCGAACTCCACCAGGACTGCAACTCATTGAAGCTCCCAAACTCTTCTGTGGGTTTTTTGTGAGCTGCTACAACGCCGTCAATAGGCCAGGCCCGAACCGCTGCAGCTCCTCGCACTCGGAGCGCACCGCCTCGAGTAGCACACGGCGACTCCCTGGCTAAGGAACTTCTCTGTTTGCATCGTGGGCCTCAATCTGCTGCTCGAGCTGCCTCTCAGAGCCTTCCGCCAGCGGGCGGAGACGCCTCGAAGAACTGCTGCATGCATTCTTGCAGATGCAACTTCACGAAAATCAATTCCAAAAACTAGCTGTAGTCTTAGGCCTCACACACTGTTAGATCATCGTCGGGAGAAGGCAAGGCCTCGAAAACCTCGGATAACTCCACTACTTTGCACCCCTGCCGCTGATTGCAAAAACAACAGAGCAACTTGGAACATGTTGACTTCGCCGAGGCACATCCCAATTCTTCGCCAACCAGGCCTTGTTGATGCAAGTCAGGTTCTCTTTGGCCAAAAGCCTGCCAACGGCATATGCGTTTCGAGTATCCGTTGTTCAAGGGAGCGACCAAGAGTCTCCATCCATAGCAGCAGCGAAAACCGTATGTTTCCTCATGTTGACTCTGCCCACCCTCTTCAGATGCCTGGTGCGCATCCTTTCGGACCCTCGGTTTGGCTTTCTTGAAAAACTGGCTTTCGCTCGAAATTCAGAGCTTCAGATACTTGGAGTAATGCGTATGATCCACAATTGGGGTGCAATGTGTGACCCCGCCTCACGGTAGATGGCCTCCTATCTTCCGCCATTCCATGGTGAGTTCGCAATGGGACCCCATTGAGGGCAAGTGGATTCTCAGACTTTTATTCGAAGCCACCTTCAACAGCCCTGGCACACGCTGTGCTCTCAAGGCCTGCAACCTCTCACTCGGAGCTCTGTTCTCGGCTCTCGATCTGGTTGGCTGCCGGTTGCCCTGTCCTTATCGTAGACAAGAGTCTCCAACTCGCGACATCGGCGAACATACTCATCTACAAATATCGTATCATTTGGGCTCATTCCAAGATCGGCTCCATGGTCCTCCTTGGCGATCGGTGGTGCTGAGGGCTTCGACTGACTGCATGCCTTGTTCACCCCTTCTCCTCCTCGTAAAGCACAGCGTCCTGCTGCACGACCCAAGGGAACTAACCAAGCAAAGCACGCGATGACACTCCCACTGTCGCTGCAATACACACGTCGCCAACTGTCTGCTCAATGTCCTGCTATGCGGCGATTGCATGCCGCAACCAAACATGCAGTGCTCACACCAGTTCTGGAACGGCTGGCTCGTTATGGTGTGGAGTCTTTGGCATCTCCGGGTCGCGGTTGCCCTCTAGGATTGCCAACTCGGTCGTCATTCTCCTTTCCAGGATTTCCCGCTGCTGCCTCAGTCGGCTGAGCAATTTGTTCTTGCCCCCACTTCTGCAGACGCCTAACTGGTCACACAAGTCCTTGAGCTTCCTGAAACGCGTCTCCACATGTCGCCCCAGCTCCAAATGCTCATCTCCAAGCCGGCCGTCCGACTGCTCGAGGCGCAGCTCCTCCATCTTGCGGATCGTAAGAAGGGGCCGCCCGCCGCTGGGCAAAATGCCCAGCCAGGCCTTTGTACCAATTGCTCGGCTGCCTTGGGAAGTCGACACGTCGACACAAGTCATCGTAGGTACCAAGCAGCATGACTTTTGTGGTCCGAAACCATTGCCGCCCCCGTCAAAGCGTTTCTGCTGGAACGAATCGGAACTTTGTGTTCGGGCCTCCATCATGATGTCCGAGCCCCCACCCCAACGAAGAAGCTGGTCCAAACTCAAGATCAACGGCAAGTGCAAAGCGCTCCCAGATCGTCACCTCCTCGCCGGCCACCATCTTCACCATGACATCCAAGACGCGGCAGCCACACTCTTTGGATTTGTTTTCTCTGCGAGTCTTGCATGGCCACTCCCACTGACGTCGCTTACCAAAGAGGCCACCGAGACATCAGCCCCCGAGTCCACGTGGTGATTTCGAGCACGTCACGGCTTAGCTCGTGCCTGACCCCATCACAACCAACATCCAGGCTGTTGGCAGCTTGCATGGCGATGACGCCTGATTCGCTCTGCAGCAACGCAAAAACAGAGCACCGTTTACTATTCGCCCGAGTCGTCTCGTCATGTTTGCCGGTCGCCCAAAACGATTTCTTGAAGAAATAAGACGCCGCAGGTCTAGTACGCTTTGCCGGGTCAGCAACCCTGGTTTCACTCAGCACTTGATGCGCATGCATGGGCCTTGGCTGGACAAAGTCCGGAGTAGCCAGCCACCACTCTTCACGAAGTACGTGGCACACCAAACAGCACGGCTTGGCGCAAAAGCCTGCGCTGGAAAGCGGTGGTTGCAAACCAGCTGATGTTAAGAAGAGCCACACGGTCACACGGATATAAAAACGTTCCACAGAACCCATAGTACGCTGATGTCCAGCCTTTGATCTGCAAGTAGACTCTCCAGAGGACTGTCAACGTCCCCACTGTCTCACTGTCATATGAATGTGTCAGAGGCTCGAGCGCAGGATCCACGTGTGCCAGGGAATCAGAGACTGCACCCAACCAAAACTGATACTGATAATGTGCACACAAGACATCTAACACGCAAATCACTGAATACACGGAATAAAATGCTGTCTCGCTTGCGAGAAGGCTTATATCTTCGTCGCTTTCGCCGCCTTGATGGCATTGACTTGCAGCGGCCTCGAGGCTGCAGGCCACGAGCAAAGCACCAATCATCATCGTCCGTGCCGTCCATGGGCAAAGTGGAGATCCCATAGATGCACTCAAGCTCTCCTTGCTCCTGCCGGAAATCCAAAAACATTGATCAGGGGCCTCAGTGATCCGAACTGGTACTCATGAACCGCCTCGTTCTCTAAATCATACATGTAGCTTGCTTACAGATAGGCAGGCATGCAATGCGTCATTTTCCTTGGGTGCCGAGAGTAGGAGTTCGCCTGCAGGCAGGCTGTGTGCCTGCACGCCGTAAGCCCGAACAGCTACATGTATGCAACACGGTTCGCAAACGAGCTAGGGTTTGGAAAACAGTCACGGTGACAAGGCAAAGAAAAGTTGGAAGGTAACTATCCAGCTCTTCCTCTGCTGTGGGCACTCCCACTTCCAATGGCCTTGCTTCGCAGGCCTCGCTGTCCCATTGGCCACCCCAGCTTGTCGACGACCATTGGCCACGACCATTGGCCCGATTGCTTTGCTTGGTTCCCCTTGCCGGTGTCAGCCCTTTCCATCCTTTTCCTTTGCTCCCTTGTCTTTTCCTTTCCTTCGTTTCCTTGTCCTTTTCCTTCCTTTCCTTTTTTTCCTTTCCATTTGCCGTCCTTGCCAGGGCGCTATCCTCCATCATCCCGGCCTTCTTTGCCAACTTCGTCTGCACTTCTCCCGGGTGTGTTAAGATTTTCGCACTGGAGAATCCATTCACGAGTCTCGCTTTACTTCGTGCTAGGCCACATTTTCAACTGCTGCTGCGCGTGAAGTGACTCCTTGATTCCAGCTAGCACCGTCGCCAAGACCAAGTCCTGCGAGAAATTCTTCGAGGAAGCTATTTGGTAGGAACGAAGGGCCTCCTCGTCTTTGACCAGTTGCTCGTGGAGGCCGAAGTTCCCGTCGAACTGCCAACTTGCGAAGCTTTCTTGGGCACCCGGATGACCGCATAGCCACACTTTGTCCCATCCACATTCCTGATCATCAGCCAAGCCTGTAAAGCCTCTAACTCCTCGCGACCATGTCGTCCGGAAGCAGGTCGTGGGAAATCTCGGTCTCCAGGTCCAGGTTTCTCAAGTCGTTGCGGGGGTCATTCGTCACAAAGTAATTCGAAAAGGTAAAGAACCATTCCCGCCATGTCCCCAGCTCTTCCTCCCTGCCCGTCGGTTTCCACTGGTCTGCCTTCAAACCCTTTGCCAGGGTTTCTCCTCTCTGGTACGCGGTGCTTGCTGCGGCAGCTTTTGCCGCCGTCTCACTGCTCCCCAGCAACTTTCCGAACACCGTCCCAAAGGCCGGCTACAATCGTTGCTTCACAAGCCTGTCAACTAACTCCGGTCCCGCACTTTGGGCTCCTGCACCTTGTTGGCCTCCGCTAGGCTGCTGCTGCGCTTGTTGATGTGCCCGTTGTTGCGCTGTGTCCGCATCTCCTCTGAAACCCCGCCTTCAAAGAAAACTCCTGAAAAGTGTCTCGCCCAACCAGTTGACCTGCCGGGTTCTCTCTGTGAAAAACTCCGCCGCAAATAACCACAATGCCAACACTCACGTACTGACTCAACAGCGGCGGGTTCCGGACCTGCCACTCAAACAGGTGGACTTACAGTTGTCAGCGGGCAGAGTGAACAGAGTGAACTGCAGCCAATGAATTGCGGTGAGAAACGGCGGCCTCCACCTCCGGGCCTAATTATGGAGCCTCTAGGAGCTGCCCGAGCAAGCTCCGTTACCATGAAAACCTCGACTTTCCACTCGAGTTTAAGGGCTTTAGATAGCGCAGATGATCCACAATTGGGGCGCAATGTGTGACATTTCTGGTGATCATTCGACTGACCAGTGCATGAAATTAATATTCAAAGCTGTGACTTTGCGAAAAATACTTCTCGACTCTTGCAGGCCAACCAGACGGGGCAGCTGTGCTTCTGCCGTATTCATCACAGACGACCTACGTTGACTCACACCTCTAATGGTTTACGCAAGCAAAGCTTTTGTAAAGTTGGCTCTCAAGCCTCTTGAGCTCTGCATCTGCATTGATGTCGTGTAGAGAACGAGGCCTCCGTGCTTCTACGCACTGCGCAACCTGTCCTTCCTGTGGCATTAAGGCCGGGACTGGTCTTTGCTCAACAGAAGCGAAATCAAACATCTCTGCACCTGCCAACACATTCCGAAGCAACGCGGTCCGGATGGGATGGCCCTGCCGGGCGCAACCCTTTGCAGAACTGATTGCAAGACGACCCTGCCCAAACTCCTTTGCATACTGAAGCTGCATGTCTGGACTCGTCTATCACAGCAGGTGCCTCTGTTCCAGGCCGCCAAGCTGTCAGTGGAGGTCGGAAAATCTGGCAATAGGGAGAGAGGGAGAAGGGGATGGAATGAGGGAGGGAGTCGAGAGCGAGGCCCACACACGCAAAGAAAGACGACAATGTGTGAGAGAAGCATGCATGAAAATGCCAAGGCTTCTGAATCGCCCACCTCACGCTGCCAAGATGTTTCTCCAAACCTCGACGAAAACACCAGCTGAATGATTCCGTATGTCCCATCCAATCAAAGGCATTCTGAGGCGTCGAACAATGCATCCGCAGAAGGCCCATCTGGACTTGCAGCCCCAAGCTTGACAAGTGCTGCCTCCCAGGCTCTTAGAGCAAAACAAACATAGTGGGTCAATACCTCAGGGCTTGCTTTCGGCCTTCAGGTCCGGAGGCAAGGGGCACACGACTTCTTGAACCTCGTTCCTGCAAGGATTTTGCAGATTTTCAAGGCAGAATGGAAAGCCGTTTGTGCTCATACTGCGTGGCTCCTCAGGTCTCGGAATCTCAGGCGGAAGGAGTGCAGGAAAAGTCGTGGACACCAGATTCTGTCCTGACAACCGCCCCATGCTGAAACCACGCATCAGTCGAACCACAATGCGACACCAACATCGACACCAACCACAACAAAGACAAATGACAACGACGACGAATATACAACTGACACAACATCTGCCCAATGCTGTACCCTACACATGTGATTGCATTTTGTCCTTCTCCAGCTGTCCAACATCCCCGTACTTGTCATCCGAGACGAGCGGATGTCCCAGGTGCTGCCTCAACAGGAGCCCTTGCTCGACGACTCCGACGCTCGAATTACCCCCTGCAGGCTGATGGCAGCATTCCCATAGTGCATGATCGAGCTGAGACTCCCGGCATGTGAACACGGATTTGATGCGTGCGCCCGGAAGTAATATCACAGGCCTGTGAACCGGTAGACATCTGAAAAGTCAATAACCTACATCTAGTGAGCGGGACCGAGGAGTTCAACTCTTCAGTTACATCTCAAAGGTCGGCCCTGAAAATCATCTGACGCTTGTCATGTGTAACACTGCATATAGAGGGGCATAACTCAAGACCATTCACGCATGAAAGATGAGCGCACCAGCAGACTGTATCTGCCCACGCTGGCAGACCCGAATGTGGCCTCAGTAGTTCGCAGCTCGGCTCCGGGATAGTTTCACTTTACAAGGAACACGTCGTGTGTTGCGATTTAACTAATGCCGTCAACATACTATGACCTGGTACTGGGTCTCCGCCCAGTCGCCTCCATGGAAGAGAATTCAAACGTTGGCAAAGCTCAACGTTGCCCCGCCGAGCCTGCACTGGAAATCTCTGACCTGCGAGCCAGGCTCGGATGTGGCACCATGTGGCACCAAGCATGCTCCGAAACCGACTTCGAAACAGGACGTACTTGCAACTTGCGGTGTAAGTTTGATGAGCCATATCGTATTCAGCTCTTTCTTAAGCTCCTCATCGACAGATGGACACATCTGTAGGTCCACAAGTCGGGCAGATCCCGGAAAACTGACGGAGAGGATAAAGCAGTAAGGGTGCAAGCTTGTGCTGCACAACAGGGGTCTCTGTGCCCCGCAACAAAAGTCAAAATTCGCGGTTGGTATCGTGCCAAAATTAAGCCTACCGCTCTGAATGGTGGTGGGCATCGTGGCCGGCGACACCGTGTCCCGGACCTTTGTAACCTCGGAAATCCCCTGGACCTGAGCGGCCCGTTTTGTCGTCGGCTCCAGCCTCTTTCTCCTCAGCCACCTCGACAGCATAAGCAGTGCTCTGAATAGCCCCTGCGACTTTGACATCGGAAGAATCTGTCGCGTCTGCATGGTTGGGATAAGTACCCGAAACATGCTCGGATTCTGTCAAGGTCTGGCCCCTCCACTGCAGCAACTCCAGATGGCCGTCAACGAAATCCTCCTGTCACTAACAAGAGGCTCAGATTCTAAGGACTCCCACTCATAGCAGAGCTCATCTTGCCACTTGATCGGCTGTTGACATGCATGTGGCTCATTGTGCATCAGTTCCTAAGCAGCAACTGACATATGTGCAAACAACGTAAGCCGAACCAGCCGATGAGTCCTGCAGCGCATCAGACAACGTGTGATCCCAGATGTCACTCGATCGCACCAACGGGACTTGCACGAGACAGAGCGCCAGAGCGAAGTTCATGTCGTATTGCGCAGCGGACCGCAGCCGCGGAGAACAAGGACTACTGATACCTTTCCACCAACTACTGGGCTTGAGCATCGGGATCAGTATCGGATGGAATCGGTTCTTGGGTCCCTCCGTGTCTCACTCAAGGCAATTGCGGACTGGCGCAGACCCTCTAACACGACATGCTTCGGGAAGCGTGCCTAGTCGTGGCATCGGTTCGCAGTGTGCGAATGCTCGCATCAACCGTCCCACTGGGAGACGATACACGTCCGTGCACCAAGCACACATAGCGCTTGGAGATCTCAGTTTTGTGAAACCTGCCGGAGGCGAATGCTGTGTAATTATGCCGGTAAACCGGCCGCAGTAAAAGGCAGTGGTGGACCAGCACAAGTAGCGACAGTATATGCGCTGCATCTGTCTCTCCGTTCCTCACGCATAAGCTGCAAAGAACGAACACTTAACTTAACAGAGAGGGAGTGAGGGAAGGAAGTGAGGGAGGGAAGTGAGTGAGGAGCACAGCGCTCTCATGCGCAACTTGAGACCCGCGGGGAGGTGACGAAAGCTCTAGGTTGGAGGGTGTAGCTCGAAGTGCAGGCGCGACGAGGACTTGATTTTGCAGCCGGGCGGGACGAGGTCGTTGGTCAGTGACACGGCAAAGAACCATTGTCAGCGCGACTCAAGACCGCACACACAAGAAGCTGAGCGTCGCAACGAAGCTAAGCGCATCATGAGCATCCAGGGATCCCAATTAGCGCCGGCAGGCGAGCATCAGGAGCATCATAGGGCGCCGCCAGGCAAGCATCACGAGCATCATCGGGGACACGTTTCTCCATTGGAGGGTCGTTTCGGGACCCACCCGCTGGAGCCCAAAAAAGGCCCCGCCCGGGCACCCCTAAATCCCGGGTCGCCCCCCCCATACCCCCTAAGCCTTCTGGCAGAACAAGTTCTGACTTTTGAAACGAAAGGCTCCCTGGGGAGAGCTTTCGTGACAACGCAAAGTGCAAGTGCCATATCCGAAATTCTTTTCGTACAGCGACTACTAGGTCACCAGGATTCAGATTTCTTGAAGACTTCCTGAAACCTCCACGTCCGGACGCATAAGCTTCCGGCTGCGCACGCAAGTGCCGCTGAGCCTTAGGATAACAGCGCATAGATGTTTGTAGTTGCAGGATCCATCTATCTTCGGGGTACATGAACCTAGTTTCCAATGACCTCCACTGTCATCTCTAAGGTGCTGGCAGCAGCAGTCTTGGCCGCCAGCAAGGGCCCGCTCGTCTCCTGGATCCAACTCTCACTTGCCCGTCTGCGCTTCTCACATCTTCTGACTTCATGCCGGTCCTCATATTCCACGTTTCTCTGACATTCCAAGCGGTGGAGATTGGAGAAACTTGGGAGGCTCTAAGCTTGGATGTATTGCGAAACGCTCATCACACCAACAACTTGCTACGGACTGTTCCCTGTAATCTGCGTGACTTCTCGACCAGAAGCTCCACTGCTTGCTCACCCTGCTCAAGTCAAGAGACCCTCCCATGCTTGAAGCCTGGTCGATGCGGTGCGACAGAGGACCAAAGCCCGTTCCTGAAAGAGCCGGGTTCGACCTTCGCTCACAAGCCCACAGGCCCACAGAGATGACGATGTTCCAGTCTGGGGCCGAAGCTCTTCTTCGAAAAGCTTTGGATCGATGCTGGCTACCTGGTCCACTGGTCGAAAGCTTGAAAGGATGGAACAGGGCACAGCGTGGCAAGCACCTTGTCCCTCAGCCAGCTTGGCAGGTGGAGGCCCTCCTATTCACGCGTCTTTGTGGAGGCCACGTGGAGTCTCCAAGAAAGGCCTCTGGAGTTCCTTTGGGCGGCAATTCCACCTACCAGTGCTCACAAAGCTCTGAGACATGTCTTCCAATGCCAGTGGTGCCACCATGCACCTTCCAGTGAGGAGGCTTGTAGAGCACAAGCCTTACAGTGGGATCAAACAGCCCAAAATTTCAAAAGCTTTCCATTGCTAGCCGAGGCGGGCACATCTGGTCCAAGTCAAGCACAACCTCGGGCCTGGGCCAGCCGGTCAGGGACCGAGATCGTTCGGGAAATGGTAGGGTTGTTGCTTCACACCTTTGCAACGATTGCAATGTCTGAAATGCACGCCTTCGGCAATTGCCGTCGCAAAGGAAGTGTGCTTAATAAGAACCCTGCCATGAAACTGGAGAGGTCTTGCTTTTGCTTCCCGTCGACACAGCCTGCAACATCCAGAAGAGACATACCCAGCAGAGCATGCACAGCGAGATAGGTCCTCTGTTCGCGCTTTGCCAACACTCGCCTTGTCCGTCTAAGTGCGAGTAGGACCCAGCGTGAGTGCATGCCGATGGGAGCAGCTGGGCTTTGGACCGGGTTCCGAGCAACAGCTGCCTTGGGTCGCCTAGATTAGCTCTCATGCAACTCCGGCCGATTGCGACTTGTGCTTCGAAAGTTCCGAGGGAGCCACGGAGGTGCCGGAATGTTTTTGCGCACCTTTTGAAGTCGCCCATGTAAGACGGGAGAATACGGTAATCCAAGACAATCAGCCCGACAGTGGCTTTAATAAAGTTATGGTGCTACAATCTGTTCAGTCTGGTGAAGGCCTGATCTGCTGACAAGCACTTTTATTACTTGCCGGGTTTCGAGGCAAGCTAGCCCTTTGCCTCCACATTGCCAGGTTGCGCCTCACGCAGCCTCCCAGCACAACGCACATGAAAGCATCCTGATGCCCTGGACCGCATTTTGTCGTGTTGAAGTCTTTTTCCACAACATTTTTTGCAAAACTGCCGAGCTTCTGCGACATCCCAGGAATGCCAACCTTCCTGACTGTCGGAAAACAGCTTGCAGCCATTCACATTTGGGAAAAAATGTGGCAGCCTTTTCCATAAAAACGCTGCCCGCTTCTTGCTGCGATCTGAGGCCCGGTACCTGTGCCGAAACATCATCGCCAAGACGAGACAGTCTTCTTGCATCCGCAACTCGGAAAACCGTGTGATGCGTTTGATGCAGCGGAAGATGACATCAACTACGATCCATCGGTCTGGCACCATTGGACCCGGTCTGGCTGCTTGGCCATGTCTGATGGGTCCATGAAGTAAGACCTTGGTTTGCTTGCGAAGTGTAACTGTACAGATCTGGAACATCAATGGCACAGTTGCTCGGTGCCCAGCTCTCCCCACCACAACCTTGAAGCGGCCGCATCGAAGGTGAGACGAAACCTGTCTAGCCAAGTCTCCAAACTCACCCCGGCATGATCGTGCAATAATCCATACCATGCAAGAAAAGCAGGGCAAACCCAAAACCCATCTTCGTACGTGACCTGAACTGTTCTGCCGTGAAGTGCGCATTCTAGCCAAGCACTCTCAGGTGGATGTCGAAGGCAAACAAATGACAAGCTGGGAACCGAGCTTTCTCGACTCGGCTCCATTTTTTCGCACACCTCAGTCGAAGGGATCGGCTTCTACCGCATTCCAGCTATGCTCCAATTACAGTACTGCGCCGCATTCACTTGCCAAGGGCTTTGCACGACCACGACGTACTGCTGGCAAACTCGAAGGAATAGGTTTCATTCAAGTCGCTCTCCTGTGGCCCAACAGCACGTATGCGACACAAGCACTGCTCACTGAACGGCTGTACTCGACATGAGTTTCGAACGCTTCCGACACCGATTCACACGTCTTTCTTGCAACACACGCCTTGCCCCAGACGAAATTCAATCTGCCCTTGACTTCGGCAATCGTGGGTGGCATCGTCCCCTGGCACTCAATGCAATGTGACCCAAACAAGCGAAACATATGTTGGGCGTCTTTGCCTGTCAGCCAGCAGCCTTCGATTATAGCCATGCTGGTTGCCACAGTCGGCCGTGCCCATTTCCGTTAACAGGAAGCCTAGACTGGACGCTTGGTGTGTTGAGGAAGCTGCAAGAACGATCAGGTTGCCTGGACCACCATCATGCGAGTCTGCTAATATTTGTAACTTGATCCGACCCAAGTTGGACACTCACCGTGATGACCCAATCTGTTCGAGAAGCAATATGCAAGTGCGCAGCATGATGAAATCAGGTTGCGAAATTGTGTTGCCCCTTGTTTGCATGTCCTTTATGTTTCGATTGCAGCCGTGCATAGCGGGTTCAACATTGGTCGCCACTCTTGAGAAGTCCGTGGCATTGCTGGTGAGCTGCTGACGCCACAAACAAACAGAAGCTGCTGTCGTGCTGCACATTCCACACACAACAAACATGACATCTGCGCCATCGTGTTTTCCATCCCATGCCTGCTCCCATCCAAGCCACCCTTCACAAAAAAACACGCAGCAGGCGGAAGTGTTGGACCTATTAGGACCATTGCAGGTTTTTGCTCGTGTCTGTTAAATGCATGCTTGACCTGCTTTATTGGCTTGATGCAGCCAGCCTCGCGAAAAGTTCGCTATCGTTCCGCAACTGATGGTCACTAGCCTCAAAACTCTTGTGCTCCGTGCCTCGCACACCTATAGGATACCAGGACGACCCCACAAAACCACGAAGTCCACGAAGACCAAGACAACCAAGAAAGCGGATGACAGGAAAGCCACCAAAACCACTAAGTCACTACCTACGATGACATTGTTTGCGCGAGTCGGCCTCAATGGCTACGGCTGCAGTCCAAGGCAACAAACAAACTGTGTGAACACATGTGCAAGGTGACACGACCCCGATTGCTGTCGCTCCCACAACTATATAAAAGCCTGCGGCTCGAGCAGCCCAAACACTTTAGGTTCTCTTAAGCTTGCATTGCTCTACCACTTGACACACTCGCAGATGCTATTTTTGACCGTATTGCTTCTGAGTAGGCTCGGCCTAGGCCCGAGGCTGGACCGTAGGCTAAAAGTCACCCCCCAGCTAGACTTTGTGAAAGCGACGAGTTGGTTGCAGGCCACTAACTAGGCTCGGAAGCGAACCAAAGGCAATTTTCCGAGGCCGGAAAACCCGGTGCCATCTAACTTGTGTGAGATGGCAAGGCATCAGTAGGCTAGCGTACCTGCGAGGCTGCAGGGACTGGGCCACTATAACGTCTCATGAGGCAGTGAGACAAGTAGGCCAGTGTGACACTTGAGCTTCAGTGTTGGGTGGCATCGGCAACCATTGTAGTCGAAGAAGACGAAATGACCTGGGCGGCAGGGTTAGGGTGGGTACCCGAAGGGTGAGGGCCTAGGGTAAGCAAGGAGGCCAACGCGTACAGCAGAGGCAAAGCCGGGGGCTGATCAACGTAGGTTGGGCTCGGCTTTGCGAGCGAAGCGAGATCCTGTAACACCTGGGCCAGGCGAACAGTTAACTTGGAAGGCTGGTCTTTGCGAGCAAGGGATAGGCTGAGAGGCGTACCCGGCATCACGCGGATTGCCACCTGAAGGCTAGTGATGTGTGGCTACTCGATGCGAGAGCCTAGAGGCGTAGGTCTTTGTGAGGCCGGGTGAGGCTCCCGGGCTACTCTCTTGAAGGTAGGCTGACCTCGGAGTGGTCGGGGCCCGACCGTTCCAATGCAAAAGCAAGCGAGCAAGGCTAAGCGGCTAAGAAAATAGGCTCCTGGCTCGGGCCGGACGACAGGCTCGTCCTGACCCCGCGTCTCGGAGACGTACCTGGAGTGGGAGGGCGGGGTTTCTGTAACCTGAGGCTGCGAGTACTCAAGTGCTAGAGCCAGACACTGCAGAGTGTCCAGATTCACAAGCTAAGAAAACATACACGAAACAAAAACGTGTAACGTTCTCTTAGGCTTGCACTGCTCTACCACTTGACATACTCGCAGCTGCTATTTTTGACCGTATTGCTTCTGAGTAGGCTCGGGGCTAGCCGAAGGGGCCTAGGCCCGAGGCTGGACCGTAGGCTAAAAGTCACCCCCTCTTTAGGGACGGAAGCAACGGTCAAGTAGACGCATGTGAATATTCCCCTATCGCGGGCGGTGTTCTGTCCTTAGTGCAGGACTGTCACGCGCGGAGCTGGGATAGGCATGCATAGAAACTAGCACGCCGGGGCCGCTGTTTTCCTCTCTGTCATAGGCTGCGAGGTTGGAGTGAGAGTGGAGAGGCGAGGTTTGTGTCCTTAGACGTCCAGGTGGCTTCGGATGCTGCCGAGGCCAGGATCTGTAGCGGCACCCGGAATCTGTCCTGTGGGCAATGGGCAAAGGCCTGGAGGCGACCCCGCCTAAGGTCGTCGGCCCATTCGTTGTGTGCTCCTGCCACATGGGAGACTTGCTGCCCTTGGCTGAGCTCCAAGAGGCTATGAGGCCCAAAAACTCTGAGAGTGGCCATGATGTTGTGAAGAGTTTATTGATGCCTCCTTCTGTAGGCGCATTGTCACTCTCGGTAGGCAGGCAGATACTCATGCGGGAGTGACCATGGTGGGCCTTGGCTGTCATCGCTAGGGCAAGCTGGGCCAGCGTTTCGAAGCATGCGATGTAGCGTTGGGCCTCCTTGGTCAGGAAAGGTGAAAGTTTTAAACCAAAAGGTGAAAGTTTCGAACCAAACTTTAAGGTTCCCTTGATTCACCGGATCGCTCTTTGACTTTTCACCAGACGGCGCGTGGCTGTCTAGGGTCTCCTTTGAGCCTAACGTAGCGGAGTGAAACAATGTGAATTAGCTCCTAAAATAGGATACACTGGAAAATGAAATGTTTGTTACGCCCTCTCGGATCATTTTGGCTTTCCAGATTGAACCGACTTTCAAACATTCACCTACAGTCGGCTTCGCATTTTCCGCATGCTCCTTCGAGCACTTTTAGCTCTTTTCGCATGCTCCATTGAGCCATTCTTCACCTCTTCATCTTCTCTCCAACTTCTTTGGCTCGTGGTCCTGTAAATGATTGTGAAACATAACGTCAAAGTGTACGCAGTCTTCACAGTCACTGGCTTCCGAAACTAACATGCACTGCACTCACTTTTTCTTGTAGTCGCGGTAGGCGGTAAGCGTGGTTGAACCACTTGCTCCATCGCTGCATTTGGCGACTTTTGCCATAGCTTCACGCTTTGGCTCACTGAAAAATATCGTTGTGCTCGTGGTGCTTTGTCGTTTGAGCTTCAGCGCTCTTTCACATACCCCCGTCTTTATACTACAAGAAGCATAGCCATGGACGTAGTTCTGGAGCCATTTGAAGGACCCAGTGGAGTAAGCCAATGAGGCTTTCCAGGTCACGAAGCTGACAGGTGTCTGACAGTAAAACCGCCTGTACAGTACAGCCTTGAGCAGCTTCTGGACTTTGGGCGCGGGGAGGTAAAAGAGCCTCCCGCACGAAAGTTGATGCGCCAACCGATGTATTCGATCTCAACACCGAGTTGGACGTTATGCCAACTGATGGGATATCCAAAAACCTGGCAAAAACTGAGGATCAAGCAGGCATTCATGGGAACGGCTTGCAAGGATTGCCAAAACAAAGCATCATCGACGTACATAAGAAGTACGTGACTAGTAAAAACTAAGCGGCGCGCTGTTCTTATCAAGAACCCTGCTGCCCGCTGCCACCAAAGGGCGCTGAAGTTACCCCCGAACGGTGCAACAACATCAAAGAAAAAGCGGCCACCGGCTTCAATGCCTAGTAAACCCTGCTCTGCGGCAATTATGCGCACCGTCTTGTGGGCTGCGGAGATGTCGAGGGAAAAAACCCCCGATTTCCCCTCGACATCCCCGAGTTGGAAATTCCATGCGTATGTCATGGAAACCGGGCAGCATATAGCGCTCCGGGATCATGCATGCACCGTTGACACCCGATACTGAAGGATCTATTATCAACCGAGGGTTGCGATTTTCCGAGACGATGACGTTGGCTTTGCCAATAGCTACTTTAGGCCATTTGGCTTGAGCAGCCTCCAAGCTAGGAAGCTCGATGACATATCCGGCATCAAGCTCAGCTTGGAGGAGCTCCTCCAACAGCTTCGGATTCGCAACTGCCCCTGGCCAATTGCCACTGCATATTTTGAAATCCATATCTGGAACCCAGGATTCAGATTGATCAACTGGGAGAAAGCAGTTGGACTCGGAATGTCCTGATGAACACCTGTAGGAACGCCTTGCTTGAGTGCCGGCCAGAGCGAAGTGTCGCGATCTTGAAGTCTTGAAGTATTGCGGAGAGCTGCTGAAGAGCATCAAGGGAGTAAGGTTGGCCCGGCTCCACCTCCCAAGAAAATTCCGGTGCACCATGGAAACCCGTAGCCCAACGTTGCCATAGCGAACGCATATGCGCAACCTCGTCTTGTGAGAAAAGGGGTTCGTTGCACTGCTGCGAAACGGCCTGGCGAAGACGTAAAGGGGCTCTAACCTGGGCAAAGAAGGCATGCAACTCCTTCCGCAACTGTTTAAAAGTGTCCGGGACATGACGTGGTGGTTCCGACCAGTCCGGACAACTATAAATGCCGGCCCCATCTTGAGAGGCGCGAGGAAAGGATTGAAGAGAACGCGGTGGTAGAGCAAGACATGCTTCGTGCAAATGCACCAAGTACCCTGCACCTCTCGGCGCAAACAAGCTGGTGATGGCCTCAACGTACTTCTGTGCCAGTGCCGCCGGGAACTGTGCAGATGCGCGTGAGCGGAAATTCCAAGGTGCCGGATCCACCCCGTTCGGTTTATGTATTCGCAGCTGCCACATGTTGAGCAAAATATAAATGGATTATACTTGATATAATCCAAATGTAAAAGCATAGGAATATATAAATGGAATTGATGCACACACTCGCTCACACTCGGACATCACTTCCTTTTCACTGCCGGGAATGCGATCCATTGAAATGTA